ATAAAAAAAACTAATTTACATTATTTCATTCTATTGATTTTTTAACTGGTCAACTTTGGGGAACCATAAGTGATGATGGGCAATATGTCGCAACTTGGGATAATATATCATGTTAAATTTAAATTAGAAAATATATTGAATGATATAATAATTTAGATTATTGGCATATTTTTATTAAGTTTTGCTATAAATCTCTTAACCTTAAATCTGATATTATATTTTATAAAGTTCAAATAACAATTGCTTTATATTATGTTGTAAGATTATTATTATTACATATATATAATTTTATATAGAATCTCAAGTGAGCTTTCTTCTTATAATAGAAATTTAAGAGTTGAATGATAATCTCTTTTTATTTTAACACTTTAAGTTTTTTTTTTAGGCATAACTTTCTCATAATAAGGCTTTCCTCTAATGATATCTGTAAGATAGAAATTTTATTAAAACTTTATCGATATACATTTCGAGATGTTATTTCTGATTTCATTCCTTAATCTAACTATTTTAATATTTCCAACTCCTTCAAAAACATTATTCTTAAAGAATGAAAATCTGAAATACAGTATCATAAACAAAACAATTAAATAAACAAAGTGAAATTAATTATATAATCTGAAAAACCAATGAATGATTAAAAAGAGTTAAGAATTGGGATTGTTAAGATAATAACAATAGTCTAATTCTACTAATTAAAAGACAAATCAAGTATACATAATAAGATTCAAATCCAAAGTTAAATAATAAGAGATGCATAATTATTAAAATTAAAAAATAACTTTTTAAACACTCCTTCATTAGAGATGTTAGAATAGACTAAATAAAATATAAAATCGATTATCCATTTCCATAAATCTAAGATAATAGATGATTCTTTCATCCTAAATAAAGAATTACATGCAAAATAAAGCATTTAATATTTCTTAAAAAATTTTTAATTTCATTAAAAGTTTAACTATATATGGTTAAATCATGTATACTTTATTAATAATAAAAAGAATTAAGTAGGTAAAAATAAAAATAATCTCAGGATTATATCTCTATAAAACAAAGAATTAGATAAAAATTAAACCAAAACCCTGTAGATAACTTTTAGTTAGATGAATGGGTCTTAATGTGAAATATCATATAGTTGAATATGAGGAGGATAGTATTGTTAAGGGTTATTAGATTGATATAAAATAAAAGATAACCCAAGTAACTTTAAAGATATTATAAAATTTGGAGATGGAGAACATATTTGGGAAAAAATGTAACTCAAGAAATAATTTGATATAGATAATTCAAAAATCACAGTAAATCAAATTATTGAGAAAATGTAATAAATTGCAAATAAAAATGGACCATATTCTACTATTTATAATAATTGTTAATCTGTTGCAAAAGAGGTGACTGAATAACTATTGTTTAAAGAAATCTCTTAATGTAAGGTCAAATTTTTAGCAAAGGTTACAAAAATTATAAGGTGAATAAGAGAATGGAAAGTCAAAACTTCATTCAGCTTTATTGGTTGTTACTTAATTTGGCATATTTGGTTAATATTTTAGATATTATATTGTTGAAATTTTAAATGATGGAAAATTACATTGTTAATAGATGAATATGAAATAAATCCCTTCATCACTCAGCAATATGAGTTTATTTGAAATGAACAATGTCTGTGGGAAATAGAGTCAAAAATTGATGAGTATTATCTTGAGTAGAAAATTACAGACATTATTGATATAATAAAATAAAGTCAAAGCATATTCGATTCTAATAGTGAATCAATGACAAAGACTTTTGAAAAAATCAATAAAATATAATAAAAAGAAAAAACCAGATAACAAGATAGTTGTTTGATTATGTGATTGAATTATTTTAATCAATTATATTAGAATAATTACCTTTTCACTTTTAATATTCATCTGCAAGTGAAATTAGTTCCATACATATATTTAAATTATAATAACAAACTTTGTAGAAATTATTAATTTATAGATAATATACTTTTATTTTATTAAATAATTGATAATGATGATGATACTATTTTTTATATATTAAAGGAGATCATAAATAATTATCAAATTTAAAATTATAAAACAGTTAGGATGAATATATTAATTTTTAATTTCAATTGGGTTTTATACTATTTATGTGAAAAAAAAGTAAAATTATTGATTTTTATTAATCATAATTATTATATATATCATAATTCAATTTCTGATTTAATATATCCTAAATTCCTTGTCTTATATTTAACTTTAATGGAAAAATATAATAATAGGACACCAATTATTGAAATCAGAGAATATATCCACCTTTTACTTGATTTTTCTACTTAAAGAGGGTAAAATAATATGTTATAAGTTCCATTTGATAAATCATTAGAAAAAAATATAGAAACATTAATTTAGTTTTAAGTTTTCCTATTCAAAATACATGTTACATTCCAAGTACTTATTGAGTAATTATATATAGATTAATTATAAATA